ATTTCCTTCCAACACAAAGCATTCTATGATTCTAAATATACTAAATATATAAATGAAGTTGAAATATCACATTCCACAATAATTTTATTTATAAGTCTGTTTACACAATGCGGAAATAGGCTTAACTAGATATGTGTCATGTAGCAAGAAAAAATGCTTTCTGACAAGTTGCTGATGGCTGTTTTAATGTGGTGGGGTGTAACAGCTAGTTAGAAACATATAGTATAGAGACTTTAACTCAAAGATCACACTGTGTACATACTGAAAATTCAAGAGAGTTTGACAATCTGTAGTTTAATTTTAATGTCCAAAATGTCCCAAACAATTAATAACTTGGGAATGGACCCCTTTAAAATATACATGATGAAGGTATTATGTGAAAAGTTTTATTTCCCTTCTTTGATTCACTCTCCCATCTTCTCCAAGTAAACCTTTGAGTAATAGGCCAATATATGTGTATTACCAGTCTCTAGCAGTAGCCTTGGAGGCTATGAGGATGTCAAGGTTGTTCATAGGGAGAGACAATATTTTCTATCTAACTGAGTGATTTAATGAGAAAACTAGGTTGGCTTTCAGCAGAATAGAACATATTTGACTAGTCAGGTACATTATTTTTTGTCTGGTTTTTTTCCAGCATTTCCCTACCTTGAATTCCCTGTGTTCTGTTGATTCTTGTTCTAGTACAGTCATCACAAACAAAGGTTTGTTTTCAACTTTTGCCTTTGCCTCAAAGATATTTACTGGAAGAAGTAACCACAGGAAGGTTACTATGGATGGGGCATTATGTGTTAACACAACCTTTGTGCTGCAAACGATATCTTAAAAAAGAAAATTAAATACATTCTCATTTAAGAACGTAAATACAATGTTCCAAACAAAATACTGGCTGTCCTGATGTCAGTTTTGGCATTTGCCACAGTACTGTTAGGATTTCATCTTTTGTCTGGACGACTTGTTTGGGTAGTTACCAGTCAGTAAAGACCAGGATCATGCTCATGTCACGGCAGTTGCACCTATTAGCCATTTACGCACACAGCTCTGTGAGTTTCTGAAGCATATATGACTACAGCTCCAGTTTTGAAGTACTAACCCTGTAGTTAATTACACATGGCAAGTCATATAACTGTTGTACAAGTAAATATAATACCTGAAGATGTGCCCTAGCAAGTTCTAATCTGTACTGATTCCCTTGATCTCCCTTTGATTATAACTGTATATTAATGTATAAAGGATAAATGTGACCCGCAGACCTACAGCTTGAATTTTGAGTACAATGATTTGGGATATATAATGTTGATTTAGGATTGCTAATTAAAATATGAATTAATTAGGTTTTCTTCTGGAAGAGATGAGAATCCTGGATTATTGATAGGGTGTTTTGCTTTCTATGAAACACTCCTCACATTTCTGCATGAAATTTCATTCTTGCCCATCCATCCTGTGTCTTGGTATTTTTAGCTGAAGAACAGGAAAAACAAAGTACCTAAATGTCTGAAGAAAATGGCAAGCAAACATCTTATCTCCAAGCTATAAGTCTGTTATCCGTTGTAAGGAGTCTTTCATCAATTCTTGAGCAAGTAGTACTTTAAAAGGAATTCTGGAAATAAGAAATAGGTTGATTGATGGACTGTGCAGACCATCTTCATTATGGGGAATGACTAGAAGTCCCGGAACTGAATGTATTTATTTCTTGAACTATATACCATGTTAATTCGTGCTGGAGAATAAAAAGTTTCCTTTACAGTACTTAAAGGTAACTCAAATATTTTGCTATGTTGCTCTAGATAGTAGTCATAGACTCACAGAATCACAGAATGGCCTGAGTTGGAAGGGACCTTAAAGATCATGCAATTCCAATGCCCCTGCTATCGGCAGTGACACATTCTACTAGATGAGGTTGCACAGAACCTCATCCAACCCTGAACACCTCCAAGGATGGGGAGTCCACATTGTCTCTGGGCATCCTGTTCCAATGCCTGATCACTCTTACCACAAATAATTTCTTCCTAATATCAAATCTAAACCTTCCCTCCTTCAGCTTAAGGCCATTAAGGTAATTTCTGAAACTGTGTCTATCTGCAGAAATTTTCCCAATGATTTCAAAAACAGGATTTTCAAATAAAAATCTCAACCTATAGCAAAAACAGACAGACACTCAATTAGATAATCCAGAGGGTACACATAAAGTTACTTATGCAGATGTGTTAATTCAGCAAACTTCAGTATGTGACTTAATCTTACATGGTTACTATATAAGAAAATGAAAGTGATGGTCTGAAATTTATCTTACTAGCACAAGTGAGGATACCTGTAAAAATGTGATATGGACTAGCAAGTAGAGTGCAAGCCACCCGTGGATTTTGGACTTCAAATATTTTCATCCTCAGTGTCTCTAATGGCTGTATTACTGTCATCCCCTGGAATATAGCTTAGGGGCAGCCTGCTTATGTGTACTCTTCACTGTTCTATACAGCCACTCTTTCATGAGGTTTAGGTTAAAACTTAAAGTTATTGACAGCTCTGCTTGGCTGAACATGTCCTTATTTTCCATGGAAGAGAAACAGAGGAATCAGAACCTGCTCCATGTTAGCTGAGAGCACACTCCAGTTCCACATACATATTTCAGAAAAGTGAACTCCTTGAAAATCATATGTTTGTACTCAAACTTCAACATTTTTGCTTATTTTAATGTGTGAAGCAAAATACTCCCTAAACATTTCAAAAGAAAGAAAAAAATCCTCTTTCTAAGGTTGGGCTGTGGACACATTTTTCATTTGTGAATTTGTGCACTGGACATTACATAGGGAATTTGTCTTGGTTTAAAATTTCAAACACCATGTGCTCCCTGAAACTGGTAACCAAAGATAAAGCAAAGAGAGCTCAAAAAAAAATTTGAACAGAAGCACTCGCAGAAGCAAAATGAGAGGCAGGTTGGTTTCTAAATGCTTAAGGAAAGAAGACAAATTACTTACATTTATGGTTTCTAAAAAAAGTGGTTTATCTGCTTCTTCCACTTATGTATTGTGGAAACAGATTACAAAGCAAAGCAAAAGCCATAAAAGCTGTTTGTGACCAGAATTTATTACCCATTACTAACAGTTTGCACTTGTGTGTCAAGAGGAGAACTCTTCAGAGAGAATAATAATAAATTCTGACATTTTACAGTTTTGGGGGTGACAGGGTTTGGAGATCTCTGCTTGATTATTTTTTTTTCTGTTATGGTTCTTCTGAATATGCAACTTTTTAAAAATAGATATTGATTTCCGTTTAACACTGGGCCAGCAACACAGTTATAAAAGGGCACTGTCATTTATGCTATGGTCATATCCATAAGCAAAGTTTTGTACAGTGCAGAGTGGCAGCCCGTATGTCTTTCTCCTCACTCATTGGTGGGTCTAGCTCTGGTATTGGTTTGTGCAGGGTTGATGAGTTTGTCTCTGGGCTTCTGGCTGAAATTGCCCCAAGATGTCCCCAAGTACCCACAAGCAAAGCATATTAGATGTGGTAGTGATGCAGTGTGCAGAATTTCCATCTGTCAGTGGGAAGCTTGGCTGGTGGATTTGGCCACCCATGGATGAGGAACAGTGATTTCCTTCCAAGACAGATTCAGCACTTTGCACATGTTAAAGTATAACTAAATGGCACATCAAAAATTTTCATAGTCCTTGTGGGATAAGGCAGTTTTGGGGGATATGTCTCTATGGTGATGAAAATCCTGGTTCTATGTAGGTTCTTCTTTAGGTAGTTTTGTAGATCTTGACCATAATTTTTTTATAACCCTTTTATAACAGTCACACGGCTTAAGATGAAACAAAGGTTTACGTAGAAGTATGTGGTTGGGAGCCACTGGGACAATCTCTTTTCATATCTTAAAATCTAAATGTAACCCATTTGAGTGGAAACACAAATGGATCGCTCAAAAGTGACATTTAAGGAGGACCCATATTTGAAATGACAGTGAGCTGTCACTGCAAAAAGATCAACAGATATCCAAAATAGGTATTATAAAAGCAAGAATTGATGTTACAGTTCTTTTGTGATGGGTGAAAAGGAGAAATCAGTTGGTGTGTTATGTGATGTAGCAGTTGGATTAAATATGGAAGGACACTTTCTGTGTTTACATCTAGGTGATATAATGTTCATGTGGAAACCCAAAGTAAAAATCTTTCCCCCAAAAAATGAGATTCATAAATTACTCACTGAAAGCATAGATTTGCTTTCAATGCATCAGAGGCAGGAAAATCTAAAGACAGTCCTGAAGAATTAAAGCATTAAACCAGGCAAGTCCCTCAAATATGCAACATATCCATGTGCTAGTTTAAAATTTCACTCTTTAAAGCATAGATATGAAACCTTCTTCTGAAGTTAGTGGAGTTATTCTTAGTTATAGTGATGGAAGAGAAAGCACAATATAACTCACTGTTCGGGGAAAAAAAACAAACCCAAACTCAAAATTTGTTATGACTGAAGCAGATAAACTGTTTATTATTTTATCTAAGTAATATCTTGACATCTCACTGTTATTTGAAAATTGCACCAAAACTTGCTGTTTCTTGACTCTGTGATAGCACCTGCAGGGATGACATATGCAGTGAATGAGACATCTGGTCGGGAACAAAGCTTTTTTTTTTAGTCCAGAATAACAGTCACTTGTTCTTCAGCCACAAACAGCAGACAGAGGTAGGGATCAAAGCCAGGTGAATGTTTCACAGTGTACATCAAAAGTGATTCTAATAAGAGCTTACAGGGCATGAGATTTAATTATCTCTCCAGAATCCAGGGCATTTGTCTGCTGCTTGTTTTTGCAGAGGCCTCACTGTGGTTAACAAGGTTTGTTTTACTAGCTGAAGATCATGTGTCAGACCACCTCGTGAAGCTATGTGGGGAGAATATCAGCATAAAACCTCTTTTTTAATTTGTCCAGTTGCCCACATGGAGAGACTGTGGGGCCAGGTTGGAAATACGCCTTCTGACAGGGATAGATCAAATGTGGTACCCACCTGGTTCCTGTGCATCCCTGTGATGCTCCTCTTTCGCTGGCATTTTGGCCAGCCTGGCCACCTGGGTCAGTTACGCTGGACTGCAGAGCAGGAGGGGTGCCACAGTGTCAGGGCAACTTTAGCCTTGTCTCTGTGAAATGAGGATGAGGAAATCAACAAAAGCAAATGCAGGGTTCTGCACCTGGGGAAGAATAACCTCATGCACCAGTACAGGCTGGGGGCTGACTTGCCAGAGAGCAGCTCTGTGGAGAAGGACCTGAGGGCCAGCAGTGTGCCCTTGTAGCCAAGAAGGACAAAGGTATCCTGGGGTGCATTAGGAAGAGCATTGCCAGCAGGTCGAGGGAGGTGATCCTGCCCCTCTACTTAGCCCTAGTGAGGCCACATCTGGAGTGCTGTGTCCTGTTCTGGGCTTCCCAGTACAAGAGAGGCATGGAGTTTCTGGAGCAAGTCCAGAGGAGGGCAACAAACATGATTAGTGGACTAGAGCATCTGTGTTATGACAAAAGACTGAGGGAGCTGGGCCTATTCAGCCTTAAGAAGAAAAGACTGAGAGAGGATCTTATCAATGTATATAAGCATCTGAAGGGATGGTGTGACGAGGATGGAGCCAGGATAGTCAGTTCTTGATATTCTAGCCCTTGGCATCCTTTGCAAGGGCACAATATGAATAAAGTGGTATGTGGCAACGTCAGTTTTTAATGCTGAGCCTGTCAGGTATTTCCCCCTAAAATCTGTAAGAGTGACAGGGTTTGAGAGTAAAAATTTTAAATGGGTTCTGTAGTTGACATAGTTTTAAATGCTTTGCAAATTAGAAACAATTGGCAACCTGCTGGAAAAAATGTCATTGCTGACTTTTGTGAACTGTGTAATTTCTGATAATACAAGCAAGAAAAACTATTTTGTATCTCAGAGGACTATTCCTGAAAATAAAAGAGCTCCCCTCACTTTTCTTCCAGTGTGGCAACATGAAAGAAACTGTGCAGTGGAGGTGGGTGTATGACAGGGAAGAAACCACACTTATTGCCCTACTAGTTACTTGCTATGAAAAAATATGCACTTGAAGAAGGAGTTAGATGTCTCATTGAGGCTTGAATTTGAGTTCTGTTAGGGTTTGGCTTCTGGTTTCATATGGCTTGTTAGAAAAGTAGTGAAAATTTAATTAAGTTTTAGGCACTGACCCTTGGGAAGGTCACTTCAGGTCCCACTAGGATAGATGACAGAAATACCTTTGCAGTCTTCAGTGCAGTATGTACATAATGGCCATATTGATCAACATAACTGGTCTACTCTGGCCTCCAATCAGGAGACCTGGAGACACACCATCTATAACGCTGCTGCTTCCTTTGAGAAAGCACGCAGGATCACTCTTGAGGAGAAAAGACAATGCAGAAAGAATCGAGTCTTGCAGAATACACCATCTGAGTCTTTCTGCTGTGCCTTTTGCAACCAGACGTGTCTATCTGGTATTGGCCTTTTTAGCCACCAGCATGCTCGTGACAAACGTGGGTAGAGCCCTTCCCAAATCTTCGTTCGCGAAGCCAAGCCATGATGACATAATGGGATTAATATATCTGGGAGTATCAAACCTCCTGTGTGTGCACTGATTCTGCAGTTAGTAAGTTAGACATCCTGAGCAGCTTACAGCAGAAACATAGATCATCTCTGAAATCCACATACTAAAATCAACCCCCACGCACTTCCAATTTGGAATGGCTGCTGAAGAGTAACCTTCCTCTCCAGTAAGCACCTCCATGTTTTTGGATGCTAGGCAAACCAGAAGTCCTGAACAACAGAAGGAAATCCTCCTGTTTTGCCCAGGTGACTGTTCTGAGTTGGAGAAGTGAGTGTAGCAAAAGAAAACCTCTTGGAAAGAATCTATGGAGGAAAGAGTCAGGAGGTGTCCAAAGGGATACCATGAGAGGCTGCCTGCAGATCTTAAGAGGAAGAAATTCTGTGGAAGAGGCTTTTTTTTTCATGTTATTTCAAGCTGGTCCTGATAATTGCTTGAACAAATTTACTTGGACAGTCGGTCATTTTCAGGGATGGCAAATCCTTTGCTTTCAAAGAGCTCAGTAGGTATATTGGCCTGCTGCAGGGACAGCATATGCACAGCTGAGCAGGAGATAACAGCATTTTTGCTTGAATTTCCACTACAAACCACAGCAGGTTTTCAGCACAGATACTTCACTGATCTGCAAATATACTATGGTTTATTATTAAATCTGACTTGTCTCTTAAATTCTCCAGGTACTTCTTACAAGATTGCCTCTAACATCACCTGAGACACCCATTAAAGGTAATTGAGACCTGCCTAGAATATGTGTCTTTAGTAAGACCAAAAGAAAAATGATGTAAAGAACAGGAAGTCCTTCAAACAGATTAGCATCAGTAGTGTGTCTTTCTATCTCAGGTCAGTGATGTTTATGTCATGTTATTTATGTTCAAATTTTACAGGATTTTATGAGAGAGTGAAAGGTCCTCTCCAGACAATCATATGACATTTTTCATTAGTCTTATTTTCAACCTGGAGATATGGCTTTTGATCCCTCATGTTCTTCTGTTGTCACCTGCTGTTGGAGGTGGAGTGGCTGTAAGAAAACAAAACTTCTTGTTACGATGCCCATACAGAATGAATTTAGTAACTGTTTTTACCTTTAGAGTTCTTCTAAATATAGGTAGTTCTCAAAGCAGCCCTGAGAAGTATTTTTCTCAAGGTATCAGTTGTAGAAGACAGCTGTCAATACATATTTTAGACTTGTTAGGTGCAAATAATCTGCTAAGTTACTAATCAGCAGTTTAACACCGACTGAAACATTTCCTCCTCATTTCCTGTGTATCCCAGGTACCAGAAAATGAGAGTTCCTAAGGCTATAACGTGAGTCACAGAGAAGCCAGTTTGGAAACAGTAAATCAAGTCTCATAACGGGCCTGTTGAAGTGTGATGACAGCTACTGCTGGATGACGTTAAATGTGTGAAAAGTGCTGCAGGAGAGGGCTGGAGAAACAAAGGGAAAACATGTTAAAATTTGCACAACCAAGTCAGGTAAGGACTGGAGAAAAATGTAGTGCAGAGGAAAAGGGTTGCAATCATTTCAGGTAAGAGGTAGGTAATTTCTGCAGTCATATTTCTCTATGTTGATAAATGACTTGAAACTGAAGGCAGAATCTCTATCAGGTGAACTGGTAAAAGGGAACAGGAGCAAACAGCTGCCAAAAAAACTGTACTCAGCCCAGGTGTGTCCCTACTGCCTCTCCTATGGTCACTCTCCCCTCATCCAGCTTCCCTGTAAAAAGACACAGCTTTAGAAAGACACTCCTGTGTCCACAGAAACAAAGTACCGCGCATAGCAAGAATAAATCTTTCTGAAAAGTGGAAATAGTCTTAAACTGCAAAAGGCCTTTGCAGGATAATAAAGGAATTTGGGCAGAAATTAAAGTGCCCATGAATATTTTGAGAACAAAGTCTAAACAAATCCTGAAATGAAACTGATTTTTTAAGTATAAGAATGTAAATGAAAATGAAACTTTAAACATTTTGTAGAATATTTGTCCAAAGTACAACATCTTGCTGCTTTACAAACAGTAGCAATAGTAGTGTAAAATGTGTGTGACACACTTACTAGTTTGCAATAAACAGAAAAAAGAGTTTAATGTTTTTAGGCATAGCCCCAATGTCTTTTGAGAAGTTTCTTTAAAAATAAAAGAACACAGACATAAAAATAGGAGATTATTATGGAAATTTGGATCTCATGTTTTATTGTTTTTTTTTAAAGCACAAACTAGTTTAAATTATTTTTATTTATTTCATGGTTTGTGAGTTTTTGGGTACTCATTTTTGAGCCTTCCTCCACAGCAGAAATGTCTGACAAAGCTAATATTTGTTATTTCAATGCGCTGAGATTTTCATATAATTATTTGAGGATAAGCTTATTAAGCATACCATTAAATGTTATGATATAGCTCATGTTATCAGATAACACTATTTCCTTCACAAAACTTGCCAGGGAGCAATTGCATGCTTCAGCAAGTCGAGTGAAGTGGCTTTACATGAGAGGGTCTTAACTAGCCAAGAGTAAACTTAGGTAAAAAATTACCTGGTTTCCCATGCTTTCACAGCAGCAACACAGTAATATCTCAACAGGAAAGGCAAACCCATTGACTAGATGATGGCCTTATTTACAGAGTGCAGCCTTGTGACTTAGAGAAAGAGGTTTGGTAACAGCATTTTTTTTTTCCAAGGAGGTAAATTGACAAACTTAATTGTCGTGACTGTTTGATTTTAGCAAAGGCTATTCCCTTGCATACTGGTGTAGCAGCTCAGTAATTGAGATAAAAATCTGTAGCTTGTTCACTTCCTATCAGTCCAGCCCTGCTATGAGAGAAAACAGGCTGGAAACTCTTAAGGAACTGGGGATTACTTTCATGAGGAGCCTGGCACAGGGTTTAAAGTCTAGCAGACCCTGATGACTGCTTGTTCAATCCTGCATTTACTTATAGAGAGCTTAATTGAGTTGACACAAGAATATTCCATTTGCAGTGCAAACAAACAAATTAAAAAAGGCTTAGTTAGACATTCTTAGTGGTGTCAGATTAAACCCTGATCCTAGCAAAATGCAGATGTTATCCTTCTGCTTTTTGTGTTTGATAGGCAGCCTGTTTACTGAACAGAATGCCTTGTCTTATGCTTGGCAACAAAAAGCTACACTGTTCTTGCAGCAGAATTCAGTATTATAGAAACGAGGAGAACAATTTTAACTCTGCGCTCCAATACTGTTAACATCCGTCTTGTTCTGCATCCAGTGCTTTCCTCAGAACTACTGGAGATATCTTAGTGGTAAGGTTTGGAGACTTGGCAGGGAGCCAGCTTAGTCAAATGGTCTTATAGCAAAGCTTTAAAAATTTTAGACCCTTAAAGTAAAGAAAAGAAGAAGTTTTTAATAAACATTCAATTTTAAGACCATGATCAAATAGCCATTTTAATCAGTAATAATTCACAAAATTTAAACTCTGTTTGTATATTTTCTAACAGATTATTCATCAGCATTACTACTGTGGATTATATCATGAAAACAGAAACATCTCACCTGAGACAGTTTTACAGATTTTACTTTGTAGCTTTAATATGGAGAC